CTAACCCTTGCCCAGATTCCCTCAAACCTGTTCCTCAATTGGTGCTCGATTGGGCAGTTCTTGCCTGCTGCCTTTGCAAATATTCCTCACCCGAGGAAGGGCGCATGAGCCTGAAAGCTTGCAAATAAAGACATTTTTTTGCAACTGTCTAATTGGCCTAATAAAAGATATTGCCTCTACCAAAAGGTCTGACTGCTTTTGCCTGTAGACCAACACAGCTAAAACCTGTATCCTTGAAATCATGATAGCACCATAGCTTTGTAACACAGAAAGCTGATCTGAACAAGGTCCAAGAAAACACTCCAGCTCGTGGTGAAATAGAGGAGGATGTCGGCAGCTCAGGGAGGATCTACCAGCGATCAACACTCTGGAGTCTGACCTCTGTTAAAATCAATTGCTTTTTACAGCTGTAAAGTGTACTGGGACTTAGTTAACTTTTATCTCTGTGGCATTGCATATGGGCCAAACTGTCTGACCTCAGCTGCATCCGTACAATCCTGTTGACATTAGTGAAGCCAGTGGGAGTTGGATGTAAAGAGCAATAGCAGCAATGAGCCTGTTAAGAATGGGGCTGCATGGAGGCCCAATACAAATAGGCACAGCTTTGTTTGAATGTTGCTTGTTCCTGCTTCTATAAAGTCCATATTTGCTGCAGTTTGCTTTATGTCCCGTGAGGTATAAAGGTGTTGATGAAAATAGGGCATTTTTCATATGTTTTTATATAAGGAGGATGTCCTATACTCTGAATTGTAGATGGGGCCAGGTGCAGAACCCAGCTCCGCTGAAGTCGGTGGGATTACAGGGTCTTCAGCACTGTACCACGTGGAGCTTTAGGCACCCATTGAAGTAATACAAATGTTACTGTTAACTTTATAGAGCCCGATGCCAGATCTCATCGATGTCCCCAGAGGTTTGATGTGTACTGATGAATTTGAGTACACAGGGCATCTTTTAATGCCTGATCCAAAGCTCATTGAGGCCATAGGGACTGTTTCCATTTACTGTGTTGGGCTTTGATCAAGCCCTTCATATGTTAATGTTTTCCAAGCTGACTGGCTGTATTTGCAGTAAGATTTATTCCTGCTATACTGTACATATGGTTTGACTTCGGTTTTTCAATTGCAAGAGTTAAGCAGAAACAGACAGCAAGACCGGGGCAGATTTGCTGAGTAATGCAAACTGCCTGCAGCTTTTTACCTGAGGTCTGTGCACAGCTGTATATTACCCAAAATAAATGCAAACCAGAAATCTTATGGCTTTTTGGCAGTTTACATGTAGTCGCAGTTTGGCATTTCATCCTGGAAGCAGCTGCATTTCCAGTGGGCTCTACTCCCACTAGTTAAGCTTCTTACATATTTTTCAACAATAATAAAACCCAAATCCTCCAATCCCAGCATGCCTTTAATTAATGGGGCCTATCTGAGAGTCAGAATGCTGTAAAAAGACAATGTATTAGCAGCATATTAACATCATCCAATTTACCAAGGGGGGGAAAATAGGACGAACCAGATCAGCAGACTCTAGGGACTCCCTTTTTCCTCTGGAAGTGAATACAAAATCTTTATTATCTTAAGTACAGGAGGAGAGAGGTGGTTTCTTCTTTTTTCCACCTTAACAGAAGGTGGTTTCTTTCTTTTTCTTTTAAATAATTGTTTTTTTGGGGTGCAGGATGGTCTCAATTGCAAACCTGTAAAGTAATACTCTTTCTTGCTTATGCAAACAGCAGTGTGAGGGTATTGGAAGCGGAGGGAGGAGAGATTGGTTCTGAATCTCCTCTGTCATAGAGCTGGGTCTCCACCAGGGTTGAAACAACATAATATTTTCCCTTTGGCTGAAGTGATTATAACAATGATATGTTTGTTCTCCGAGCTGTTAGATCTCCCTTTCCTCGTACAGTCAGTCAAAAGGTACCCAGTTTCTGATCTATTGCCTACTGCAGATTCAGATGTCGTTCTAAAGTACCGCTGCTTGCTTATTTCCTTCTAGCTTGTCTGTTAATTGAGTGACTTGTCCAGCATATCTCAGAAAAAGCGTTCCCACAGGCCAGTCCCAAATATCAAAAGGACTTTTCTCCATGAAACCAGCTTCTTTTGTGCAAGAAGGAGTCTGTGTGTGGGCTGCAGCGCTCATTCCTGTTTAGAGGGAAGTTGCATTGTATCTAAGCGGAACAGATCTGTTTTTGATGTCTCTTTGCCAGGTGGCATGCCTGGATGTAAGTGTTGGTTGGAGCTGTGTTGGTCTAAGGACATAGGCAGACAAGGCTATTTGGGTAAATGTGATATCTTTTATTAGACCAACTGAATAGTTGGAAAAATTATTCTTTGCAATTCATGCCCAAAAGCTTGCAAAGAATGGTTTTTCCAACTATTTAATTTCAGTTGTTTTAATAAAAGTGATTGTATTTACCCAAATAATGTTGTCTGCCTGTGTATAATGGTGGGCATTTCAACTGAAGCCCTCAGTTTAAGAGCTCGCTGAAGCTCCTCTTGAGTTGTCCAAAATCTTTTCAAAGACTGACAGCCCTAGGTGACTACTTACCAGGATCTGAACCCTGGGGAAGAAGCTGTCTGGAGCTAGCGAGGCATCTCAAACGACGCAGATATTTGGTCAGCTAGATACACGTATAGAATAACCTACATACGTGGCTACCGGATGCTGTGAAATGCTGCATTCAGCACAGCGCTTGGTCCAGCAAACAGGGTGATCTCGGAGTGTGTGAATAAGTTATCTTTTTTTTAACTGAGGCTGTTTAAGTTGGAAATTTCCAATGACAAATTGAAGGGCACTGCTGCTTAAGTCACGGCACTGTAATGGGAGTTGGGATTTACAAGTCCTGCCAAATTCAATAAACCTGTATTATAGCCTTTTAAAATTGTTATATTGAACACTTGTAGTAAAGAGCCATTTTCCTTCTATTGTTTCATAATTTATTCAGTGTTTTCTTAACTGGCCCATCAGCAGAACCATAAAAGTGCCACTGAGTAAACTTTGTTTAATGGTGACCAATTTTTGTCTGTTACAATAACTTCTGCGGGAAAAAACAATTACCTTGTGATTTGCCGTCAAAGCCGGGCGTGCAATTTCTTTCCAGTTCATTTAGATAGGACATTGCTTGCAGGCTTTCTGGTGCTCTCTGTGTGTTCTCCCTCCTGCACACTTTCGGGCCTCACTAGACCTGCTGCAAAATATCGGTTCGGTCCTGAACCCAGCGCCCATAAACGTAGCCACACGCCTCTGTTTTATCTGTGCCATTGCTCTTCTTTGACGCATCATCAATATAGCTCAGATTCTTGGCTCAGAAAGAAGAAAAACACTGCGAGCATCAGCTGTTGCTGTTAGCATTTTGTCATTGGTCTGTGTTATAAAATGGTATGGATTTGTTTAATCCCATTTCCAGTTGATGTTTTTGAGGACAGCAAAAGTCTGGAGACTTTTTTTTGACCCTCTCTAGACTCTGTGAGGTAGTATGGGGTCGGCATGAGATTTGGGTCACTGAACATTCCCAATATTATCAGAAAAAAAATCTTGGAAACCATCAGGACCTGCTGGTTTTCTAAACTGGCTTTGATCCCTAAGTTTTTTGACACTGGCTAGTAATTTAAGGGTGCTTTAATTTTTGGTTACCCCAGCCTCCCAAACAAGGTCCCTTGGAGGTGTCTCAGGGTGGGCACTCAGAGGTGTAAGCTGGTGGTGCAGGTAAGTCATAGGACCTACTCTTGGCTAGTCTGCAGAGGATAAGGGTGCAGTGCGCTGCTCATCTAAAAGATGCATGGTTCTGCAGCTTGTGTGTTTGTCTCTGGAGATCCCTGGTTTAATCCTGGCTTCATGTGCTTGCCAAACTATTACAGAGGTGCCCAAAATCACTAGTGACATTTGGAAATGTAGGCCTCTTTTTAAAGCTGGTGGGGTGGGAGGTTGTATGCTTCAGTGTCTTGCAGCGCGGTGGGGAGGCTACTTGCAGGAGCAAGACCTGCAGGTTCAGATGTTTTCCTAGGAAAGTTATCCAGACAGATGTCCTTGGCTCAAATTTTCCCCTACATGGGGAGAGAGTACTGGCTTTGCATAGTCAGGACTCAGAAGTGCCACAAAATCTTTACTATCCATGCACGGTATAAAACACTCTGATTTTTAAGGTCGCATCCAAAACGAGCTTCCTGTGCTGTTCATATATCTTTCATGCTTTACAGTACGTACCATTCAACATATCTGTTTTGCCGCTGAAGGATCAAAAGTTGAGATGACTCCAGGGAGTCTAGGTGTTTCCATTCTCGAGATTAGGCTGCTAAACTACTGCAGGTTATGAGTAGCTTGAAATTTTACCATTGGGACATATGAGAGGGTTGAGATCTAATCAAAATAATCAGACCCATATATCACGTTACCCTTCTTGGAACCCAGTCTTCTGTTACAAAAAACATATTTAGGATCCATAAATTGTTCTGCTCTCGTCTCCAGCATGTTGGCCATTAAACGCTGCGGAGATTAAACATCTACCATTATGCAGACAGCATCATGTTTATAACAAATTGCTTCCTTGTAGCCCACCTGCTGCTCTCAGTAATTTGAAAGCACAGTAAGTTTAGTCTCTAAAGTTGTATTTTGAAAGATGATGGTGGTTTAAATAAAAGGTTTCAAATTACCAGCCCTCAAATAGCTACCTAGAGAGGCAGTGTGTAGCATCTGGACCATTACTGCATTACCGTAAGACTTTTAATCGGCAAGGGAGTTTCTAAACTGAACGGCTGGTGGGAGCGAAACGTGACACTAAGTGGACAGCAATGTAAGGAAGCTTTGTAACTCCCAAAATGGTAGGATAAAATAGTACATCTTGTGGGGGGAGACATGGGAGGGAGGAAAGAAAAGCAAAATTGGCTTGTGTGTGATAGAGGCATGCGTGTGCACACAAGGCAGTGTAGCCCGAGCATTGAGGTACGAGAAGTTGACTGCAACAGAATTGTGTTGATTTACATCGGCTATTCAGAGATTCAGGCACTCATAGCTCAATGTTTGCATCTCTCCTCATATCCACCACTTGGGGTTAAATAGGTCTGGTTGCCACCATGTCCGCAGCTTTTTTTGAGAAAAATGATCAAATATATGGAGATACGGGAATCAGGATTCCCACCCGCAGGTAAGCGCCATGGCATACACATGTGTGTTAGAGCTGGGATTTCAGTTCTGTTGAACTCGCATGAGATCTGAACTCCTAAACTCTTTCCACCTTTTTCTAAATCCATAAGGTAGGTGGGAACCTTTTCCAGAGTAGGGGCAAAGCTGTGGATTGTGCAACTTTTCAATTCATTCATGTCAAACAGGATCTGGGGTTTCTGCCAGACACTGGCTCCTGCGTGCTTTCCCGGAGCAGCATTTCATTGTGTGGGGCGTTGAACAGCACCTTTCTGGTGGTTCTCCGGGTGGTTGAGCCCTTTCCTGCACTGCTCCTTCTCCCTGCCTGATCTCATCTTCCATTCTTGAAGCCACAATTTAGTCCTTTGACTATTTTGGAGTGGCGATCTCCTCGACATTGATGGTCTTTTGTGAGGCCGTTCTCAAAACACTAGAAGCAAGGAGGACAAAGTCGTCTGACCAGGCATATTCCAGCCCGGTCCTATGTCAGGTTTGGGTTGAGAGGAAGGAGTGACTTGTGATTAGAGCTGAGGTCTAGGCATCGGGACGTTTGCTCTATGTTCCCTGCTCCTCTGCAGACTCCTTGGGTAACCATGAAAAGGAGCTGATTGCCCCACTCTTTCCTTAAGGGGACCCGTCTACATGAGTAAATCCAGTCTAGTGGAAGGGATGTTTGGCTTTCTTCCTTAATGCTTGTGAAAAGGTTTAAACTGCTTGGGCTAGGGCACCACAGGGAAGAGAGTAATCAAATAATCATCAAGGGGAGATGGTGAAGAAAGGGAAGAAACTTGCTACTGCCGTTAGGGTGGGCCTTCCCCGGGGAACATGAACAAAGGAGGTCTTTTCCTTTACAGATCTGTGCATGCTGCAAGAGTCAGAGCTTTAGGAAGTCTGGACCTCCATATCTCTGCTGTGTTTGATTTTGACTTCCTCTGTAGCTGGACTTGGGGGATGAGACCTCATCTCGCATATTAGAGCTGGCTCCAGGAGGTGCTAATTGCAAGCAGCTTCCTTGAATTTCTGAGGAGAAGAGACAGCCTTGCGGCCACAATGCAGAAGAAATCTTTGGCAGGCAGGTGGAGAGTCCCCAAGCAGAAAGGATAAAAAAAAAAATCAGAGCTGCCAAAGAAATCTTTGGCATCTCTCAATGGATCGTTTGTTTCCGTTTTGATACTCAAGGTATTTTAAAACGATGTGGCGTAATTTCAGCCCTCTATCTACATGCACATTTGCATGTTTGCTCACAGCTGCATGGCTGCACAGACAATCCATCACTTTGGCCATCTGTTTAGGCCTCTGAATTGACAGTTACATTATTTTCTTAAACCCCTATTTGAACAGCAAAAGAACAGCTAAACAGGCCAGTTTTGTAGCCTTGTAGGAGGGATCTTTTGCAGGTTTTTTTTCCTTATGGTTGAGGCTAGAAAGTTGGACTAGAGAAAATGAGATTTATTTTTTTTTACTGTGTATTTGTGCAGTCTAATTTGTGGCCTAGTTTTATGAACTGAAGACAGTAGAGCTGCTGATGTGAGGAAACAGGGTTCTATATTACAGTCTTTACAATGTTAAGAAAGGGTTAAAATTAGTGTGGGACACTGTGAATGTAAAATGATTGATGTTCCTAAAAGCTGCATGCATCTTATGTCTTCAGATACACATAGACACTTGCATATGAACAGTAAGCAGGCTCGTTTTGTACGCTCATCAAAACCAGGAGTAACCTCAGCTGAAGCAGTGTTGTTCCTGAGAACAGAACTTGCCCTGAAATAGCAGGGTAGAGAATGGGTTGTGGATTCAAAGGAAACTCGTTAGAAGTACGCAAAGTAGCCACTCTATTATTGTAGGTATTCCCACAACAGGATCACATCTTCTCTTAAGCGTAGCCTGCTATACCCCAGGCAACATACAATTTTGCTCCCCCTGAAGTCATCACTTCTTTCCGCTGTTGGAATTTGCTTGTCAGGAATAGAGACTGCATCTGCCGTTTTTAGGGCTCAGGATAATTTTCACTTATTTGTCCAGGCCTTTCCCTAAGAACTGTGGTGCCTTTCAAGGACCAGAGTGGGTGGGGGATGTTTTCCTGCGTCTAATCAGACTGATGCTTTTTTTAACTGCAGAAAGAATGCTGGGTATTGATGTGATGGGCCACCCTGCTGCGCCAATACTACTATGAAGAGGTTAGTGTGTTTGATCACTATTTCCTTCTCATGAATAGAAATCACGCTGATCAGTTCTGTATTCTAATGCCCATACTGCCAATAGGTGAGAGATTCCCTTTTCAACTCAAGTTATGAGGGGCCTGGTTTGTTATAATTATGTATTAACTTTTGACCAACTGATTCTTAGTTGTATCTTAGCTGTCAGGGTGTGCAGACACAAACACAATTCACCAAAATAACCCAGGTTAAAATTTTTCATGCGCATTAAATTAATGAGGATCAAATGTCGTGGTGTGTACAAACGCCCCTTGTTTGCAGGTGTGTGTGGTATTGTGGCAACTGTGGAAACGTGGGAGGCCATAGACTTGTGGCAGTCTGCTGTCCTGAGCTTGCTTTATGTTTTTTGACCTTATGAATATGATTGTTCTTCTCTTTCTTTTCCAAGGTACCAGTGTAGTTTTACTGAAGTAGGGCAGTATTTCAGGTGCAGCCTTGCCAGAGTCAATGCCAGTGCTAGGCTTCTTAGAGAGGTACTTACCGTGCTTTGCAACGTATAGGTGTATATCAGTATTTAGGTAAAGAGGATCTCATTAACATACATTAGCTTATTAAAGCTGTACTTCTGATAGCAGCATGTTCATTTGAGTTTTTATCTAATGCTCAGCACAGTTGGTTTAACCTTTAAAATCCAGCCTTGTTTGTAATGAGCTGTTACAATTAGTAGTGCTTTTCCTTATTTTTTCCTTTTCAGTTTTAGGGAGATGTCAGTGGGACTTTGAATAAATCTTTTCTTTCCCTGGGAGGAAAACATTGATCAAAAATAGATGTTGCCTTACCTTCTGGGCCAATCAGTGTGCACCATCCAAGCATGCTGTTATTGCTGCTGGTATTCCAGGGGTGCCAGGGACTCGCCAAGGGGGGATGTACAGTTTTTCCGTCATCCTGCCAAGCTTCCTCTGAAAGAGCCAAGATTGCTGACATGAGCAGAAGCTTGACCTGCAGAGAATGGTGCCAAGTAATGTCTGCAATGTGCTTTACACAAGGGTGTGCTAACCTCGGCATTTTTCCCTAGCTAGATCATTCCCACAAAAACAACTTTCTCTCTTGTAGATATAGGCAGGAGCAGAGAGCTGGGTTTCCAAGCTCCGATTTTATCAAACGTGCCAGGTAGAAACGGTTTTGCATCTCTACAACCTTAAAACATGTCCATTTCCATTACAACTACATAAATTTATAACTGTGGAGCCTTTCCTTTTGGGGGCATGGGGATGTGCATGATAAATCTTGTGGCAAGCAGCGTGCAGTGTGTTGCAGCATCGTTATATATGATAATTCACAGATCAAACCTCAGCAGAAGATTTATTGCCTGGATTTGCTTATCATGAGTTTGGCCTAAAATATGGTTGGAGACAATTTAAAACGAGACAAAAATAAAAGCAAAATGCATTATTGGATTAACGGTATAGAAAGACTCTTGGAATGGGTTATTTTATAACCTTTCTTTATGTAGTTTCTTTTAAATGAGTTTATATATAAATCATCATTCCACGTACAATAAAACAGAAGGACGCTATCAGAAGGTCTGCGTCTTTGCAGTTGGGAAGGAGCTGATCTTATAGCAAGGCGGTTGTTAGGATTTGTAACTGTGCCACTGACTTGCTATGGGACCACAGGAAAAACACGTAATTGCTGCGTGCCTCAGCTTCTCCATTGTAGAAACAGGGATCTCAACATCATAATACATCGTTCATAGGCATGATGCAAAGCTTCATTTGTGTAATACATTTTCCAGATTTCCCCAGTGACAATGAGAAAGTGTAAAAAAGTTCTAACAATAAATCTTGCTTACAGGCACTCTTCTGTTTGCTGTCCACATTTTAAGGTAAAAGGGACCTGTAAGAGAAATGGCACTAACGGTTTATTCAAAATACCTCTCAAAATCTGACTTGTTTCACCTTCATACATTCACGTGATAAGTGGGAAACCTTTTATTTCGGAGTTGCACTGTTAACTTGGTCACTTGACTGCACATAAAATCATATGCAAAAGTCGCTTAGTAATGATAACGACCCTACATCTAGCGTAGCAATTCTCTCAGAACAGCACTTTATTAATGAGCTGTGGAAAGTATGTGCCCTGTGTCTGTACAAAATCAAGCCTCATAGTGAAAACACTGTGGTGGAACTCGAGATCTGACTCTGCCACAGACTTCCTGTATGTCCATAAGCAAATCACTTAATCTAGCTGTGCCTCAGTTTTCCCACCTGCAAGATGGGGATAATGATACTTCCTCTTCATAGAGGGTTTGTGAGGATGAATTCATTAATGTTAGTGAAGTGTTTGCAGAAGTATCCAGATGTATTCTGCTCCCACTGAAGTTAATGGAAGACTTCCTATTGACTTAATAGGAATAGAAGCTGTTACAAACACTAGTTTTTTGGGATCGGTTCCCATACCCTCCACCCTTGTAGTGTCAGCGCACAGACACATTTCCTGTGGTATTTAGGACATGAAATGTACTTGTGGGGCTACATGGCAGAGGCTTGTTCTGTCCTTTGCATATATAGTTGTGGGATACCAAGGAGGACTGACAGCACTCGCTCTGTGCCTGTGAGTATCCTGTGACTCTTACTCTCCTGTGCAGGAAGTAGGGCTCTAACAGTTTGTCCCGCTGTCTTCACCCATTGCTGGGGAGGGATTCGAACTTCTGATTGAGGACCCTAGGAGGCTTTATTCACCTCCAGCTTATGATCATTTCTGCTGTCACTGTCCAGTGTACAGCCCATTTCTTGTCTATAGCATCTATGGTAGAGCAGGGTACGGTACTTAATATGACGTGGTAGTTGAAGGCTGCAGCCCTGGACGTGGGCACAGCTGGCTGAAAAGGGGCCCTGGCAAAGGCTTCTGAGGAATGTGCTGAGTGGGGCGGGGGGAAATTTCCTGAGCAAATGGCTTATTTGCTGAACTGTGCAGCCCAACCGAAACAAAAATGAAACAACGTTCAAAAGAAGGCAAACTTTTGTTTTGCAACTTTCTAAATGAACTGCTTTGACGACTTGTTTTGAAAACGGGATTTCATTACATTTTTAACAGGCGCACACGAAGCTTGAAAAAATAAAACAAATGAGTTTGTTTTCATTTTTGTTTATTTTTGCCTCCCTTAAATTTTTGATTTGGGTTATAACACAATCCTATTGGGGAGGGGGTTGTTTCTGTTCTGTTTGGCTCCTGAAGCAAAAAATAAAATAAAATAAAATAAAATCAAAGTATTTGCACACTTCTGATGCAGAGTGGGTTTCCAGTTATTTTCTACCGGTACCATGTCAGGCCATTCACTTTCCCTGGGGTTTGTGCCATAAATGTTCCTAAGCCTTGCATAGGCCCTTACGTAATAGAGGCCTGTTTTACCAACAAAGTGTATGTATGTCTATTAGACGGGCTTGCTTTGAACCAGGGTGCAAATTAAGGGGGACTTGGGGGGAGGGGGGCTCAGCCCCTCCTTAAGACACAAGAGCCTTCTTGTAAAATTTGAAAATGATAACCTGAGGGGGTCTTCAGCTGGATTGCTCCTTCACTTAGGTGGACTTGTTAATCAATGAACTGGTTTAATTTTTTTTGCAGACCCTGCCCAAGAGTCAAAGTGTGTTTCAAACCCAGGTCTGCACCAAAATGCTGGATATAGGCTCTCCTCAAGCGATGAGGATTCATGCTGGTATCCCGTCTGGCGCCGTGTCTCTATGGTAGTCTCATCTAGCTGGAAACTGACAAGTTCCACAAAAAAATAAAAAATAAAAACTCCCCAAACAAACAATTCCCTGCCCCCAAAACCACTCTGCATTTATTTCTTTAGTGATTTCTTTTTTGTTTGTAACTAAAACTGTAATCCGGAGAATAATGTGCGTTTATTACGGTCGATTCCCATCTTAATGATAGTTTGATTTGTGTCTTTTATTGAATTGCTAGGTCTGGTTTAAGAGGAATTTGATGGATATAAAATGCTGTTTCACCTTATTTTCTGTGATGCATTAAAGCATTATGTGAAACCCAGCAGCCCTATTTACTTACTTACTATGTTATTCAAGGTGTTTTTAAGACTTTGTATCTGGGCCAACACCCACTGTAGCTGATGGAAAAATTCCTATTGATTGTAGCAAGTTTTGGGTTAGATCCATGGTGACAAACTTCCTAAGTGTCTGGTGTATGTGTTAGGCTAGGGGTGGGCAAAATGTGGCCCGTGGGCCAGATGCGGCCCGCCAGGCCATTCTATCTGGCCCGTGGGGCCCCTAAAAAATTTAGAAAATGAATATATATCTGCCCCTGGCTGCCTGTCATGTGGCCCTCGATGGCTTGCCAAAACTCATTAAGCGGCCCTCCACCCAAAATAATTGCCTGCCCCTGTGTTAGGCTCTTTAGGCTTTATTGCAATACAAATCTCATGTATTTGTACTTCAGTCATGCCCATGGCCATATCTGATGTTATGACTTCGTTGAGCTGGGTATAATGTGCCAGATCCAAAAGAGGAGCTAGATGCTGAAACCCCTTGCAGTCCTGAACCACCCCTCACCCCAATCCCACTTAGCTCTTTCCTGACCCTGGAGGTGCCTGGCTGAGGAGTGATGGTGGTGCTGCTGCTCACCTCTGATATACTTGGTGGTTACAGCATTTGCCCAGGAAGTGGGGAATGAAACTATAGTTCCCTCTGCTTAAGGAGATGCAAATATCCTCCTTCCACCTCCCAGGAGAGAGCCTCAGGCCGGAGCCCTCTCCCCGCCTGCTAGCAACGGGCACCGTGCTGCAGAGCATGCAGGATCTGCTGGGCCAGAGAGAGAGTGCGTCAGAGGACCTCGGCTCTGTGGTTCGGGTGCTGTGCCAGGAGGGGGGAGCCCCAAGTTCTGGTACCTGCTTCCAGGACTGCTTGGGTGTTTTACACCGGATAAAATGCAGAATTGAGCCTGCATGGGCAGAGCCAAAGGGGAGAAGGAAATGGGGTACAATGACCTTCTCAAGGTCACGTCGTTGGGTGGTGGCAGAGCTGGGAGCAGACCGTGGCCTCTGGGCCAGGCTGTGCTACTTGCCTGTGTTGAGTCTGAACACAAAAAGTAGATGAAAGGTGAGTACATCCCGTTCTGCCCAGCTTTGTGGGGCGTTGCACAAAGGATTTCAGCATTGCCAAAAGATTTGCTCGTACACTTTGCTCTTCACGTTGCAGCCCCCAAATCCTCCAGGCACACAACCCCAGCAAAAGGCGAAAACAAACGTGGTTTCCAGACAGCCTGCTGTTCTCCGAGCAGTAAACGCGTCGGACCAGATCCTTGCTTGGCGTGAACTGGCCCAGCTCTTTGGCTTCAGTGGAACGATGCCGTTCTACGCTGACCGGAGACCTGGTGCATAAATTCAACATAAACCTCTTCTCTTCGTGTCATGTTCTGAATTGATAGCTGGGACCCTCATTCAGCAGGCTATGATCATAAAGGGGCAAAGCCTGGGCCACTTGTCAGATCAAGACATTTACCACAGAGCTCAGAAATATTTCATAGGCCAAAAATCTGACATCTAAATCATGCATTTACTGTGTGAAATGATGGGGCAGGCAGACAGGAGCGTTAATCTTTGCTCACAATAAAAAGCAATGCTGTTCCACTCGCGCCTCCCAGAAAAGCCAAGCTCACAAACCCTAACAGCTGCAGGCTAGAGAGCAGTTAGAAGAAGCCCTTGTATTGAAAATGTACCCTGACAAAACCAGCAGGGTATCTGCTGTAAAGGAAAGTAATGCGAGTCCGAATTATAACTCTGCAGTTGTACTGTAGTTGTAGGAATATTTAAGAAATGAAGAGAGAGAGGGGGAAAGCTGTATTTTGATTTCCACTTGTAATAGGTGCCGTGGAAAGGCAATCACACCAAGGGCTTTACACATTTGGGATACTGCAGACATCACCTGGGTGAAATTCTCTGGCCTGTTTGCACGATCATTATGATGTCGCATGCCAGGTGCTTTTTCTCTCCACGCTGTTTGACGGTGGGATTCTTTTGGCTTCATGAAACATTTGTGTCTTCCTCTAGCTGCGTCATCACCTGCCGCCCAGGGCAGACTCAGCGGCTTCTTAACAAGTCCCAAATATTTTAATCTTCTTTTCTAGATAACTTCAGAGTTGGATTCCTTCAATTTGGTGCCTCGTATTCTTTTTAAGGCTTTTTTAGATGCTTGTCTGTGTGCTGCCAGTGAATTTTCAGCTTTTGCCTCCATATGCGACGAGGAAAGTAACTATGAATTTTTCGTTTAAATGTTTGGTCTTTTAAGCTGTAGACTTCTGGGCTAGGGACAGAAGTTTCACATAAACTGCTTTAAGTGATCAGAAACTGATGTAAAGCTCAAGCAGAACAGAAGCTCGGTGCACATAAACCAGTTTCAAAATGGCTGGAATTGGTTTAGGATAAACCTGGTTGAATGTATTATCAGACTTAATTGATTTGGGTCAAACTGGTTTATGAAACTTCTGTCCCAGACCCCTTTCTGACTCAAGTTAAATCACAGCCCCCCAGCATCCCAGCATGCTTTGCAGCCCTAAGCTGTGCTGCGCTGTGCTCCAGAGAGCAGGGCTGGCCCTGCCCCTCTGCTCCCTCGCTGGAGCAGTGATAGCTGGCTGACAAGGGGGTGGGGGCAAGCCCAGTCTGCAGTGGGGTGCGGGGAACGAGACACTGCCTCCCCAGGCAAACCCCAGCTGTGGTCTGGGGCCGGGTGGGCAGGGAGGGGAGGGGGGTAAACACCCCTTTCCCCGCTCAAACTTACTGCTGGCTGTGACTGGACCAGAAATCCCAGAGGCACCTGGAAGCAGGAAGAGGAAGTGATGAGCAACCCTGCAGAGTCCTGGTGCTGTAAGGCTGGGCTGCAAACCTCAGAGACCTCAAGGGCAGCAAACATGCAGCCAGAGAGCCATGCTCTAGCGCCCCCTGGCTTCTGGCCTGAGCCACTGGAGGCCTGTGGCTGTGTTTCCTAGGTCAAAGGTAAATGTCTGTTCGCTTCTGTTTCAGTTTAACCTGTGCAGTTTAGACTGAAAAGACTGACTCAATTCGGCCTCAAGCTTTTATGACTGTTTGCACTTTGATGACCAAGTGTCCGTAGCTGGTAAATGCAATTGCCCGTTGCCATTTCATAATGTTATTGCCTTCTGGATAGTCCTGGTTGTTTGCATGTTTTATATATAAATTGGTTCTCCTCTTGTATTCCTTTGCTTTCTAAAATAAAGCTCACGTTAGGAGTTGCAATGTTTCCACTAATTTATTTCTTTATTTTTAATTGATTATTAACCCTGTCTTTATGTAATGCTGGACAGTCTTTGGGTCTTTCTACAAAGAATCACAAAAAGCTATGCCACCAAGAAAATCTAGATCATCGATCACTCTGATATGGGACCAGATGATGGCTAACGTAATAACCAGCTACTATTTTTTTTCCTCGTAATGGAGCCAGTGACCATGCCAAATATGAAAGGTGGGGCCGTGTTGTTTGACATCAGTGTCTATGTTGAACTGTTTGTGCAATGATTTTACTTAAATGGCATAATATGCTGCATCTTGATACAGAGCTTTGATGTGAGTTTATTTAATCCTTTTGTTGGCAAACCATAATGCTTCAAGATGTTTAGAGCAGAATGGCAGTGGAAGCTGTTAAATGGTTTCTTGAAACCTGTGAAGTTTACAGTGAACAGTTTTTACCATTCAGTAATTATTTTTAGGTCGAAAATCTGGTCAACACATGATCTTCCAGGTCAAAATCCAACCTGCCCTTCTCTTAGCTTCACCTCAATCACTTCAATTATCCTGCTTCAGAGAGCGTAAAAAGAACTTGACTTGTTGCTGTAACACCTCCCCAGGTGTTGCACTTGCTTAAGTCACTCTTTTTTTTTTAAAACCGTAATAACTATTTTCCGTTCTTCTGGATGATTTTCCTGGTCCCATACTTTGGTGATAAATTATCGTTCCATGCGATGATGAGATCACCGATGTGAGCTTTCAGCTTTTCAAATTCAGTTTATAAATATGATCCTCTTGCATCCTTTTAGATCCACATTCTTCAATACATTTGTGTTGGCAACAGCAATAAGAAAAGATCCAGAGGAAATGTGGAAATTCTATAAAATGGAGATGTGGCATTCTGCACCAGAAGTTTGGCCCCTCGCATCGTATCTGCAGGGTATAAAACACCACCTCTTTAAAATGTTTTACTTGGCTTATGGATCCTTGCTTTCAAAGGGACAGCTTAGAGCTTTTAGCTGGTAATTTAGAGCAGACGTAGCAAATTCCACGTGTGGATGTTTGCATTTACAGAACCTTGATCTGTTTTTAGAGCAGTTGATTGTAATGAAGCTGTCAGCGCTCCTTGAGTGAGCGCTGCCACACTTGAACCCTAATAGGATTTTATTAACGACCAGATTGACATCTCCATCACGCTTCCAGGGTTGTGTTCTTTTCAGTCTGGAAGTCATCCCAAGACCAGAGTATTTGATGTGCAGGATGATCCCAAGATTTTTCTTTTTTTATAATATAAGAATAGGAAGATTCGCTCAGAAACCTTGTTCTTGCATTGAGCGCTGGGATTTTCAAAAGCTCCTGGCATCAGTGAACCTTTGCTGTCATGAAAGTCAGTAGTAAAAAATCCAGCCAACAGCTTCTCTAACTGGGATCCCAGTGCAGCCTGCTGTCAGTTCTTTAGCCAGATCCTGCAAAACTTATAGTTTCATAGTTGTTGGGGTTGGAAGGGACCTCAATAGATCATCAAGTCTGACCCCCTGCCCTGGGCAGGAAAGAGCACTGGGGTTAGACGACCTCAGCCAGGTGCTTGTCCAGTCTCCTCTTAAAGGCCCCCAAGGTAGGGGAAAACACCACCTCCCTTGGAAGCCTGTTCTGGATTCTGGCAACCCCCACCATAAAGAAATGTACTTAACTGTCTTCCATAAGTAAAGCACAGACTTTACTATCTAAGCTTCTCCCACTGTAAGCATGATTGCTGATCTTGCAATAGACCTCGGACTCGGG